CAAATAGTATTTCATGAAAGATTTATGTGCTTTTACCTTTACCTACTTGATGCCATCTGAAATACTCATTATGTGAATATTTGGCCACTTAATAGTGTCTAAAATTTCTCCTATGCACCCCATTTTTAAATTTTGCTATAGAGTGTATGTGTTCAACTTAGAGAAAAAGAAAGTGACAAAGAGGGAAAGTGAGAAAGCACCCCCAGGGGAATGACCAGACCACAATCTTTTCTCCTCCATTCTCTTTTGTGACTTTAGACATGTGCTCATACACACCCAGTGTGTTTCTCAAGCTGCTGGGTCTAGAACTCAAGTTATACAGTTGGCTATGTAGGATCCAGTTGCCTTATCACCACCATGCCACCACCTGGCACATGTTCTCATCCTAAGGCTTAGTTTTTGGCAGCTTGGATTGACTTTGAGGTTGCTCTTTCAAGCTCAGAAATTTTTTATTCTGCATGATCTAATCTGCTAATAGTTTTGACAGAGATTTTACTTTCATGTATTGTGTTCTTCATCTTCAGAAGTTCAGTTTGCTTTTCTTTCAAGGTGTCAATCTCTTCATATAATTCCTCCTTTATGTCATGGAATAATCCTCTTATCACCTGGAATTGACTGTTTTCTCTTGTATGTTAGCATTTTTTTATGATTAATATTCTAAATTTTTCCCACTATTTCTTATGAATTTCTGTATTTTATCCATTGTTGGAAAGGAGTTACTATTTCTTTGAGAGAGACATATTTCCTTGTTTTTTTTTTTCCTCATGTTTCTTGTTTCTCTGCATTAGTTTTTAGGCATTTCATAGATTCTGTAATGCTAGGGGGTGGAGTATCCCTAAGCCTATGTGTGACCCTGGTGAGATGGTTCAGAAGGGCTAGTAACCAGCTACATCTTTCAGGTCAGTGTGGGGTTTCCATAGTCTGTGTGTGAGACCTGGAGTTGGAGAAGCTCTTCAGACTCACACAGAGCCCTGTGAAGGTGGCCTAGGAGGGCCTGGAGACAAGTCTATATTTGAGACATACTATGTGGGTCTGGAGTGGCCTTCATGTGACATCCAAATGTGGTGACATTCTGAAGGCAACCAAGTGGAAAGGAAGAAGGGGAACACTCCATTTCCAGGTTGAGCTCTGGCAGAGTGTTCCAGGAGAGGCCAGGGAACAGCTATGTCTTTAAGATCCAGGCCAGGCTTATGTATCCTGCCTTTAATTTCTGGCAGTAAGTAGTCTCAGGCATTGGATGTGTTGACCTTGTTTCTTCCATTCCCAAGGGCTTCTTCTTTGTTCTCTGTCCTTGCTTCCTCTGGGCTTTAGAGATGCCAGATTGTCCGATTCTGCTCAAAACAGAACTCCACCAGCAATTTAGTATTGCAGGATAGTGTAGTACTCTTGTGGCTTGGGTGGGAGGTCTGATGCTTTTTTCTGAAGTGATATGCACACATACTTTGTAACAATGTTTATTAATAGCTCTGTGTCAATTTTGTTGTTTTTCCACAGATGAGGAGTACTGGAGTATGAGGTAAGAGACTGGAATTTGGGGTTTCAGAGGAAGATGCTTTTTATCTTCTTCCTTATAGGGAAGGGCTTCAGAACCTCAACTGTTTCAGATAATTGATTTCCTCTTTACATTTCTAAGTTGAGATTCTGCATTACAAAGTTACCTTCTGTCTTTTTTTTCACAGTTCTTCAGTCTCACTTTACTTCTTTGCTGGAAGCTTAGACATGTATTCAACTTTTTAAAATTGTTCTTCCCAGAGAGATGCCAGAGTGGATATTTCTAATCAGCCATTTTGATCTTCTTCCTCAGCATTGGCTATTATTATTGTAGTTTGCTATATTGCACATGTACTCACTGGAATGAGGGAGTGAGAAATCACACCCCAGATGAGATGGCCACTCTACAGTCCTTTCTCCTCCATTCTTTTCTCAGGATTTTGGGCACCCACACACACGTACTTGGCATGATTTTCAAGATATTAAGTCCAGGACTCAAATCGTGGGAACTCTAGCCAAAGTCCAGAAAGGAGAATGGAGGAGAATAAATTGTAGCATGACCATCACCCCTGGGGGAGTGATTTCTTGCTTTCTGTCTCTCTAGCTCTCTCTGTCTCTCCAGTGAGTGTATTCTCCCTATACCATACTACTTTCTGGACCCTGAATTTATGACCGTAAAATAATACAAATTAATATATTTGCCCATTTTCTTTTATAAATATATATATATATATATGATTTGCTATAGGGCAACATGGTCTCACCAGAGAGACAGGAAGCAAAAAAATCACCCCCAAGGGGAGATGGTCACACTGTAATCCCTTCCCCTCCATTCTCCTCTCAGAATTTGGGCATGCACATACATGCACCCAGCAAGAGTTTTAAGCCACCAGGTCCAGGACTCAAACTGCGGTCGACTACATGGGAGTTCAGTGATGTAACCATTATGTCATGATCCCCCAGTTTTGAAGTCGTCTTCAAAACTAGATTACAAATTTTTACCTATTTGATGTCAATTGCTTTTCAATGTGTTTAATTTTGTTAGTTTTTGATGATAAAGTAAACCTGAGGCACCCTCCAACGAGTTATCTCACTGCAATCCTCTACCAGCCCTGCAGCAGGTTAAAGTTTTGCACACACTTGGAATATTTAAGTAGACCCTGGATATAAATCCATAGCCTTCTGTATGACTTCCAGAATTGTGCAGTAGCACCAATAATACCTGTGTCTTATAGCTGGGAAAGGTGACTGCTGATTATGGACCTTACAAATTTAAATGATTTTCACTTTCCTTATCTGTAATTAAATAATTACAGTGCCTTTATTATATTAGTACAAAGATAAATTGTTACATTATTACAAAAGTAATTAATGTGCTTGTATTTGTCAAACAGAAAAGTTTTATACTTACAGTGTATTTTTTCATAAAAAAGTATTCATAATTTTATAAAAATATCTGAGATAAGACAAATTGGAAAACATAACACACCAAAATTTGGTGGATACTGCAGAAATTTTGCTTAGAGGGACATTGAAATCTTTCACAGTTGCCGGGGACCAGCCTCGGCGTGGGTGGGTTCGACAGAGGGAGCGAAGGTGAACAGAAGTCAGAGGCCTCGATGCTTTCTCATGCACATCCTATGCCGGACACCCCTCAAAGATCGCTTTCTGAGGAGTGACAACTGCTAGGAATCATCGTGCCTTTTTATTGAAAATGTGATACATGCAAGTAAATGGGTGAGGGGCAGTAAAAGATTTACTCTAAGGAACAGGGTATACAAAGCATGGAAGCAATAATTATAAAACATGCTGTTTGTCTTGTTAGCTCAGGTAAAATCAATCACAGTTCTCAGGATGAGGAAGTCCATTTGTCTGCTGTATCTTCTTCTTGGATCTTGATTACTGGGAAGAGTCTTTTGAAGAGGGGGCTTGCAGGATGTTTGACAACTTCAGTCCCGGGCCAGGGCGATAACGTTGCTGGTTACAATGACCTAGATGGAAATCTTGTCTTGCTAAGTAAAGACACAGTTAATATATGGACTATCTATACATTACAACAATAGAGGGTGAGTCTATGATCTTATATGGGAAAGGAAGATGATCTTGTAGCTCAGGAGACAACATTGGATGTTTTATTAGCAGTTTTTTATGGCCAACAGCACATAGATGAGAAAGTCATTGTAGTTGAAAGCTACCTGTTGCTTTAGATAAGAGCTCCCAGCTAAAATGGTTAATCTTTCTGTGGAGCCCTCAGCTTTGTTTATTCTGTTGTCCCATCCAGGCTTTTTCCTCTAATAAATCTGTGGGTTCCTGCATTTTGTTTGTTGAGTCTGTCAATTAGTGAGTTCTTTTGTTTTATCTCTGAGTCTCTGTTATGTGGTGAATGTGCTGACTTTGCTAGTGTGAGTTAACTTTGGCCTGTAGCTTTAACAAGGGGTATGTAAGTAAAACTAACCTTAAACTAACTCAGTCTACATATGCTTCTAATGCTAATTTGGTTTATACTAACTTAATCTATATGTTAATTTTGGCTTAAAAACAGACAGGTGGGGGAGTCTTAAACTTCCTGATCCTCCTGTCAGTCTTAGGGAACCACATTCCTACAAGATCACTAATTGGCTTTATTGCAATGGTTGGGGGTGATGTTTTACCCTTACACGGTACAGTAATAACAGTAAAACTCATGGCAGAGAAATTGAATACCGGCCAGTTCAAGGACACAAGGGAGAGCTCGTAAACTGGGCCTTGCCTCAGTTTCTTCCCAGTCCAGGCCTTGCCTTAGAATGGGAGGCAGCATCCTTACCAGCTTGTGTTGCCTGCATGGCCCCGTCACACAGTTTACTTAAAAACAGATGAAATACATCAAATCAGTACTACTTTATACATCATGCAACTACAAGAAGAAGAGTAAAGTAAATGAAAAGTTAAAAGAAGCAATGATGTGGGACCAGCATATGGCACAATGGTTACGTTGCTGGACTCCCACATAGTTGACCACAGTTTGAGTCCCAGACTCAGGGGTTTGAAACTCACGCTGGGCATTTGTGCATGCATGCCCAAAGTCTAGAAAGAAGAATGGTGGAGAAGAGATTGTAGCATGACCGTCACCCTTGGAGGTGTGATTTCTTGCTTTCTGTCTCTGTATCTCTCTCTGTCTCTCCAGTGAGTGTATTCTCCCTATAGCAAAAATCTCTCTAAAAGAAAGAAACAAACAATTATGTTAAGATTATAATGGATGTAAATAAGAGATATAAAAACCATACAGGGAATCAATGTAACCACCAGTTGGTTCTTAAAAAGCTTAATTTTTTTTTTAACTGAAAAAATATGTTCCAGCAGGTGCTATGGTGGTTAAGGAGCTTGACTCCCACATAGCCTACCATGGTTCAAGTCTGGAACCTGCAGGCTGGCTTGTTTTCTCACTCCCCATCTCCAATCTCTCTCTAGTCAAATTAAAAAATAAGTATAAATAAGTAAATGTGAGCTTATGACATAAAACCTTAGAATACCTGTTTCGTTTGGAACCTCTTCTGTTTTTTTAAACTCTGCAAGGAGTTCCTCTCAGGTCTTATCAGAATAATGTAGCACTTAGGGATGAAGATGCAGCATAGGAGTCCTGCACTAGAGGCCAAGATGGAGAAGACCTCCACAGCCACCATGAACTTCCCCTTTGTGCTGTGGTAGACAGGGAGGAAGGTGACCCAGACACTGCAGAACACCAGCATGCTGAACGTCAGAAACTTGGCCTCATTGAATGTGTCAGGCAGGTTTCTGGCAAGGAAAGCTACAGTGAAGCTCCCCAGAGCCAAGAAGCCCAGGTATCCCAGGACACAGTAGAAGGCAGTGACTGAACCCTTGTTGCACATGATGATGAGGTTTGTGGGCTCAGAGTGTAAGTCTATATCAATGAAAGGGGGTGATGTTCCCAACCAGATTCCACAGATAATCACTTGCACCAGGGAGCAAATGGGAATGACAGAGTTAGAAGTCCCCGACAGCAGCAGGCGCTTCATTGTTCTTCCAGGCTTCCTGGCCTTGAATGCCAGAATCACAGTAATGGTTTTGGCCAAAACTGTGGAAATAGCCACAGTGAACACTAGTGCAAATGTGACTTGTTGGAGGATGCAGGTGACTGTGTTAGGATGCCCAATGAAAAGCAAGGAGCAGAGGAAGCATAGGAGGAGGGAGATGAGCAGGATAAAACTGAGAACATGGTTATTGGCCTTGACAATGGGAGTGTTTTGGTGCTTCACGAAGACCCCCAAAACCACAGCTGTGACCGTAGAGAAACACAGAGCCGTACAGGCCATGGCCATTCCCATAGAATCCTCAAAAGCCAGGAATGTCACAGACTTGGGGAGGCAGTGAGTTTTTTCACTATTTGGATATTCTTGATCTGGGCACTGCATACACTGCTCTGCATCTGTTGGAAAAACAAAGACCAACTGTTTTAGTCTCAAACGATTTATCTGTGTCATGTTGAAATAGATGGTCACATTTGAGTCATTGCGAATACAGACAGACCCTGTTGTAATACCAAGATAAGTCAAGATTCTACACTGATGGCCCTGGGAAATTCTTCCAGCTGCAGATAATCCCAAATCCATTGAAACTGAGTATCAGCAATGAACAATCTTTGTCAGGCCATCTTGTGGCTCAATGATGTTACCAAGGATGTGGATTTATTCTAAATCTCCTTTCTATTCTCTCCTGGGTTTTCCTCATAAGAAGCCTTATATTCACATAGTTTATAATATTTAGTTTAGCACAATAAAAGTGAATCATTTTCTTATTTGTATTCAGAAAAAATAACTTTACCTAATTCTCCTGGTATATTACAGTATTATCACTATCATAATTTCTACTGATTTTATCTTTGGAAATAACATGTCAAGTAGTTATACAAGATATGTATTATTTTAAATTTTTATTTTTCTGTCACTATCCTCATAAGTAGTCCCACAGAAATGTTCAAAGCAGTTTGATTGAATTGAAAACATTTGGATTTTGAATGTAATTTTATTGCTCCTCTACAATTACTTTTTAAAAGATTACCGTTTTAATCATTATTGAAGGATGAGATATAATTTCTGAAATTTTTCTTTATTTACGTAAAAGCACTGTTTGCTAACTTTTTCTTTTAGTGGTAAGTAATAAATATTTTACCTTTACACATTATAAAGTATGTGCTGCAAATACTTATCTCTATTGATATGCATTGAGTTGTCAAAAAAGTCATGATGTATTTTTCTGTATTTTTTAATGCAAAAATGCATCGTAACTTTTCCAACAATCCAAAAGAAGGAAAGCATAGACACATGGAAATTGATAGCCATGTCTATGAGTTAATTAAAATTTATTTGTGGAACTCGGTGGTAATTTGCCTACTCTTTTTTTTCTTTCTTTTATTAATTTGCCAGAGGATATGTGTGCTCACTAGGAGAGACAAAGAGAGACTGAGAGATGGAAAGAAGCAAGTACTCCTTATGCAAAATGATAACACTGCAATCCTTTCTCCTCCATCTTTCTCTCTTTTCTGGATCTCAGTCATACACACACACACACACACACACACACACACACACATACACACATACTGACATGTTTCTTAAGCCATCAGATTTGGGACCTGAACTATGTAGTCAGTATGTGAGAAACAGCCACGTTAATTTTGAAGCCAAAAGCTGACCCAACCTGTGTTTTTTTTAAAGTTATTTAATTTTTAAGGTAGTATGGATTCAAAAGTATAATATGTTCTAAGAACTGAAGAGTGATAGTTTATTACTTTTCTTAAACTGCTATTTCTATTCTCAGAGTCAATTGCTTTCCCTGACTACTTCTGTCTCACAAACATGCTTGGGACACAATAATTGGGTATTTTATTCTGGGTCTCAAATCCTATTATTCTTTATTTTCATTTATTTTACATACTTAATTACCGTTGCAAATCCTTCATATGAAAGGCAAATATTTTACTTCTTGGCATATTCTTACATGAACATATCTGTTCACTCTTACTAGTGATTAAAACAAAATGCTTTCTGTTATTTTAATGACTGTAATTGCATAACTCCTGTGGAAGAATCCAAATGACTGTCATATGTATTCTTTATATATTGAAAAATGTAAACATAACTTTTTTTGAGAGAGAGATTTTTGTTATAGAGCACATGCACTTGCCAGAGACAGCGAGAGATGGAGAGACAGAGAGAAATCACCTCCCGGGGGGGATGGCCATGCCACAGTCCCTTCTCCTCCATTCTCCTCTCAGGATTCTGAGCACACTCTCACATGCCCAGTGTGAGGTTTAAGCCACTAGGTCTGGGATTTGATCCACAGTTAACTACGTGGGAGTCCAGTGATGTAACCATTACACCATCTGCTGGTCCCCAGAAGCATAATTAAAAAAAAAAAAAAAAAAAACACCTTATTTTATTTTATTTTATTTATTTTAATTTGACCAGAGAGAAACAGAGTGAGAGAGAGAAAGCAAGCCACCAAGTCCAGGACTTGAACCATGGTCAGCCATGTGGGAGTCCAACACCTTTAACCACCACACCACCTGCCAGCCCTAAGAAGCATAATTTTTTAAAGAGATTTTTGCTATAGAGTGTATGCACTTGTTGGAGAGACAGAAGGAGACAGAGAGACAGAAAGTAAGAAATAACTCCCCAGGAGCAATGGTCATCTCACAGTCCCTTTTTCTCCATTTTTATCTCGAGACTTTGAGCATGAATTTCAAGCTTCTGGTCAGGCACTTGAACCATGATCAGCCATGTGAGAATCTAACATCTTAACCACTATACCACCTACTGGCCCTTAGAAGCATTATTTAATTAAACTTTCAACATTTCGGATTTGAAAATACCACAATTTATTTTGATATATAGAATGTATATCTTTTATAACAGGTATTTTTTTGAAGTTACAGATTGTGGAATTTATTAGAATCTTGTATCTTTAATTTTTAAAATATTTCCTTCATATACTATACTATTTCAAAGTGTAAGATTCTGATATTAGTTAAGTTTGTGTACTTCATACCTTACAAATTGGAGCATGGTTGAAAAAGTTGCAAAATCGTTTTAGAATAACTTACTTGTAATTGTTTGTGCTTATCATCCAAGGGCAAATCTCTATCGGTTTCAAGATTTTAAGGCACCCACAATTAACCTTAATAATTACATATTTTCCATTTTATGGGAGGACTTTTGCATGGTTCAGTATGAGATCTAAGAGTGACACCGTCTTCCCCAGCATTGATTCCAAAGGGCAACTTTGGAATTGGTTTCACAGTTGAGCTCAATAGGATGAGCACAGCCAGAGAGCGTTTACACATATTAGGTAGCAATAGTGTTTATAAAATAAAGATATTGAAACATGTGGCCAGTAGGTGGCATAGTGGCTAAGGCACTGAAATTCCACATGGCTGACTACAGTTTGAGTTCCAGCCTCAATGGCTTGAAAAATCACACCAGGCCACATGTATGTGCATGTCCTAAATTTCAGGAGAACAGAGAAGGAATTGTAGTGTGGTCATCCCCCAGTGGGTGATTTCTCACTTTCTCTCTCACTGTCTCTCTGGCAAACACACATGCCCTACAGCAAAAACCTCACAAAAATATTGAAACTAGGGAACATGTGAATTGAAAACAATGATGCTTTATATTTCATTCCCAATTTTATTGGTTTCCTTTTTACTGAGAAATAAAGTTGTAAGGTACTTGTATATTTCATACTTGATTGATTTGAAATATCTGTCTTTGGACAAACAACACAAGTAAAACAGCAAAATGGTCTTCCTTCTTGGGGAATTTTTTGGAATCCAGGACCACAGTTCTGGCTACACACGGATTTAGGAGTCTGAGAGGAAAAGAGAATCATTAGTCATAATCAAGTATATTATCAGATGCTTTGACAGAATGACTGTTTCTCTCTCCACCTCAGAGAAAATTTTGACCATTAATAGAAGTTCATCACTATGTGTCTCTCAGTTTCCACTGCGTTGCTATTACCTAGACTTCTAATAAAGAGTTACTATATGAAGCCAATCTGTAGCTTGGTGTTAACCTGAGTTGGATCCCACATGGTGACCACAGGCTGACCACATGGTGCAAGTCCTAGACCTGGCATCTTGAAAGACATGTTAGGTGTATATGCATGTGTGCCCAAAATTCTGGAAAAGCAGAAGTGGAGAAGGGATTGTAGCATGACCATTTCCCATAAAGAAATATGGGAGGGTGCTTTCTTACATACACTCTCTCTCTCTGTGTCTCCCTCTGGTGAGTATCTACATCCTCTTCTAGGAAAACTGAATAAACAATAGTTACTATCATTAGTTTTTCTCTTTAAAAACTGTTTAACAAATATTACAAGTTAACTAATTATTTCACACATGACTGGAAATATCCTTTGATTTTTTTCTCTTTTTTTATTTAACCACTTCGTCCAAAACTGTTTTAGTGGAGGTTTCTACACGGTGAATATTCTTAGCAGTTATGTTCTGGAGAATAATTATGTCATGTCCTCATTTCTGGTGGCCAGAAATTTTTATTTTCATAAAGCAAAAATTAAGGAACTTTTTTTCTACAGAGACTTTTACATTATTTTTGTCTATTAAATGTTCCTTTCCTTTCCTGGCCCACCCACTTTCTACCACCCACTACTCTCCCTTACAGTTTATGATATTGACACATCTGCTTTAGGTTCTATATTAAAAAAAAAAATTAAATGTGCTCCTATTCTTCACTATATCTTAAAACAAGGAAACGAACAAACAAACAAACAAACAAACAAAAAACGTCTAGAGCCTCAAATCTTCTGTCCAAGAAGATATTTTTTTTTTTAGAGGAGATTTTCGCTATAGGGCACGTGCACTCGCCAGACAGACAGAGAGAGACATAGAGACAGAAAGCGGGAAATCACCCCCCAGGGGGTATGGTCATGCTGCAATCCCTTCTCCTCCATTCTCCTCTCGGGATCTTGGGCACGCATGCACACGTGCCTGGCATGAGTTCTAAGCCACTGGGTCCAGGATGCGAACCGCGGTAGACTACGTGGGACTGCAGCGACATAGACATGAGTTCTAAGCCACCGTGTCTGGGACGCAAACCGCAGTTGACTACGTGGGAGTCCAGCGACATAGCCATTACACTAACTGCTGGTTCCCAAGAAGATATATATATATTTTTTTTAAATTCTAATGATGTAAAAAAAAAATTCTAATGATGTTAGTAGAGATAGTGGGTCAGGAATAAAGGGTGGTGAAATGGGTGGGGGACAGGGAAAAATACATTTAATTGACACAAAAAATAGTTATTTTCTGATGATGATGTATAGGATAATGTCTTTGTCTTTACTGATATACACTGTATTCATGCCGGGAAAACACATATTTTGTACACTGTAAAGATGTATGGTGATGAAATGTAAATAAATATTTTAAAACATTCTAACGATGTGATGTGTAGGCACACCATTGAAAGTTAACTAATTAAAAATTATGGCCAATATATGATAAGAATAAGTTATGAACCATAGATTGTGGTTAAATTTCTTCTTGGCTTCTGAGTCCAGTTAAGGACTGCTTTTCAAATATTAAAAATACAATCGGTGTGCAAAGCATGATTGTTACATGAAGCTCCTGCCTAATCTAATTGCCCGAGATTATTATAGTTAGTGGTTTGAAATGCTTAGTAGAACAAAGATTGAATATAATGGCATGCAAAATGACAAGCAAAAATGTAAATGGTATTTACAAAAAGGTGAACACAAGTAAATTATGAGTTAAGATAAAACTTACTTTTTTGCAGCAATAAATATTTTTGTATAATGAAGACTGTTCACAAATGATAGTTTTAGAACATATAGAGGGATTCGTTGGGAGATATATAGTTATATGCTGCATAAAGACATAAGATTTCAGTCAGTGAGTAACCACATGTTTATAGCAGTCCCATAGATAGTAAGCTAGACCAGATAGTTTCTGGGTGTGGTAGGCAATGCCATCTAAATTTGTGTAACTGCAGTCTATGTTTGCAGTGACAAAATTGTCTACAGATGCATTTTTCAGAACATATTCTTACAAAGCAATTGTTTGACTGTAAATACATATTCATCAACTTGGTGATTAATTAATTGGACTGCTGTTTGAATAAATATACCTACATTAAAAAACAAGGGGCCAGCAGGTGGTGTGGTTAAGGGCACTGGACTCCCACATGGTCTCTGCCATTTGAGTCCTGGACTTGGCGGCTTGCTTTCTTGCTTTCTCTCACTTTCACTCTGTTCCTCTCTGGTCAAATTAAGATAAACAAATAAAGGGCATGGTGGTGCCTGCTCTATGGCAATAAATAAATAAATAAATAAATAAATAAATAAATAAGTTAAATTAAAATAATACTTTAAATAAACAAAAAATCTCTTATGCAACCCAGTTTTTTTGATAGTTCAAGTTTAGAATATGTATAAGCAACTCAAATAGTACGAAGTCAAGGTATAAAAGGTAAATTTAATTCCGATTTAAAGTAACACAGCATGCACAGACACAGCACAGAGAAACTTGCTTTCTCTCTCTCTCACTCTGTTCCTCTCTGGTTAAATTAAGATAAACAAATAAAAAAAGTTAATAATACTTTAAGTAAAAAAAATATAAAAAAAAACCTTATGAAACCCAGTTCTTTTGATAGTTAAAGTTTAGAATATGTATAAGCAACTCAAATAGTACAAAGTCAAGGTATAAAACGTAAATTTAATTCTGATTTAAAGTAACACAGCGCACAGACACATCATTTCATTTCAGGACTCTTCAGATACCTCTGTATAGATTTAATATTGAAATATCATACCTCTTTGTAAATAACAGGCCATTTTATCATTTCTTCATTGATGACCAAGCTTTGATCTTGGGAGTTTCTGTAGACAAAGTCTCCTACATTAACCAGTAGCCATCTGTGATTAGGAAGATTCACAATGTTTTGGATATCATAATGTGTCACGTATCCTTTCTCATCGATGGCAGTGCTGTACCCAGTGTTGTTTATAAATTGGCTTTTTCTCAGAAATGGATGAAGCTGGATGAGAGGCATGATTTATAAACTAAGAGTGTATTTAAGGTAGAAGTTGAAGGTCTAATCCTTCTATTGCCACTTTCTTACCCTTAAATTTTCATTTTGCTAGAGGCTTAGTTTTGTTTCAGTGACACTGTCTCAAGGCTCATGTAAAATAAATGATCTTTTTCTTCATGAAAACAATGGGGGAACATTTACATCTCCCCCCCCCAAAAAAAATCTAGAATATTGGCCAAAGTGTGATTTGTGCATAGTCTCTGGTAAAATCCAGATGAGTAAAGTCTGAATTGGATTTCTTGGAAGCTTAGCTTGATACCTTATGAAGGGCTTACTAAGGATGAATAAGTTTGGTTTCTTAATAATGATAATGGTAGTATAAATGTATGCATATGTCCAATTTTATCCAAATATATACATTAAATATGTGAGGTTGTTTAAATATCAATTAAATCATATCTCAAAAAAGCTTCTTAAAAGGGAACAAAAAATTTTTTTTATTGGTCTTTATTTTGGATTTTTTTTTTAGGGAGAGATTTTTGCTATAATGTGCATGTGCTGCTGGAGAGACAGAGAACTAGAGAAACAGAAAGCACAAAATTACACCTCCATCCCTGGGGGGGGGATGGCCACCCTGCAATCTTCTTCTACTCCATTCTCTTCTCAAGATTTTGGGCACATGTGCACACATGCCTGGTATGAGGTTTAAGCTACCAGGTCTGGGACATGAACCACAGTGGACTACATGGAAATCCAGTGAAATAACCATTATGCCATCTGCTGATCTCTTGGATTTCTTTTTTTAAGTAAAAGTGTGATTGTCACAGAAAATAATGAACGTTTATTTTCTGCTATTAAGTCTTTATATTTTTGAAACACAAGTAATTAAAGTAATCTGTAAACACATTTAGCTGTCCATCTTGACAAAATTACCTGGTTTTTAAAGATTCAACTTCAAACTAACTGAAAGTTCAAATTAAGCATTTTTGGCAAATATAAATCAGAAACTAAACTAAACAATCTGTTAATTTTTATGTATTCATATTACATTTTTTTCAATAATTTCATCTAATGTATTGGTCCTTGGTTTCTAAAAATATATATATATATTTTTTTGAGAGGTTTTCGCTATAGGGCGCGTGCGCTCGCCAGACGGACAGAGAGAGACATAGAGACAGAAAGCAAGAAATCACCCCCCAAGGGGGATGGTCACGTCGCAATCCCTTCTCCTCCATTCTCCTCTCGGGATCTTGGGCACGCACGCACACATGCCCAGCGTGAGTTTTAAGCCACAGGGTCTGGAACGTGAACCACTGTCGACTACATGGGAGTCCAGTGACATAGCCATTACACTAACTGCTGGTTCCCTCTAAAAATATTTTATACATAATTATAAATTCAAATATGTTTAGTTTTAAATACAAACTTATTTATAAACCAGGTAAGATATATTGAGCTATGGGCATCATAAGTCTTTTTATATCTTAATATTGCACTACAAACCCTGCTCCCATGACTTTTGCATATAGTATAAGTATAAATATAGTTAAGTTTCTCAAGCACTTTCCTTGGGTTATTTTAGGATATTAGGTAGAATAATTTCTGTCCTCACTATAAGTATCACATAGAGGGATAGGGCTACACATCTATATCACTATAAATAAAAGAGCTGCCGTCAAATATGGTTATTATGTCAACATTTATTGACATCAGATACATTCCTAGAAAACACACAGAAATTCTAATTTTCGGTCTACATTGTGTGAAGAGTCTTTTCTGTGATATTTACAGTATTTGATTCTACATTAGGAAATAGGCTTACATGTATAATTAAATATTTTAAAATCTAAGATTCTAATGGCAGAATTTTCTAAATAATGGTTATACAAATACTTATATATATTTGGGAAAAAATAAAATCTTTATTTTGCCTGATCCTGTTGACCTATAGAAGATAACAATGTCATAATGTTGTATCTTAATAAAATACCTCCAATATTATCAGGTGCTAAATATATGTCCTGGTTATAGAGGGTATTTACCTGCCAGGGAGGAAGCACAGACTGGCCTGAATCTCCTAGATATCCCATTTCTATTTTCTGTGAAAAGATCTGATGAAGAGCTTGAGCCACCATATATACAGCATTATAGATAAAAAAGCTGGAGTCAACCAGAGTCATCATGTCCACCTGAGACGGTATAAACTCTAAGGAAGAATTTGGTGGGCAGTCTCCAATTTTGCCACATAGTGATCCAGAAAGTGAACAATTAAAAGACTCTATCCAGAGTTTACTAAGTACAAAGTCTTCTGGGTATTGGGAAGAGTTGACTCTTTTGAGAAATTGTTTGAAGCCAGGGATTTTTCTTTTCTTGTTTGAAAATAAGAGACTCCCATGGAAAATGTATTGTTGCTTTAAATTGGCAGCCAAAACGTCTTCCCACTTTGATGAGAAGAGATTTCTTATGACCAACACCTTTCCCAAAATTAAATAGAATTCTTCTGCCATAATCAGGCTCCAGACACTCCCTTCATCACCAAGTATTATATACACATTTGCAGATGAAATTCTGATCCTAATTATAAAATTGAAATCATACAGTACATAGCCACCTGTTGTAGCAGGGAGCCTTTCTGTAAAGTCCACACAGATCTCCTTTTTTATCATCTCTGCCTTTAGATCCTGAAGGGATGCCTCTCCTTGCATACCATCAGCTACATAGAGTGCAATCCATGTCCAGTCAAAATGGAGCAACAACCAGGTGATTCCATGAGCCAGAGGTCTGTCCTGGGTGGCCATGTGATAAACTGATGGAAACCGGTCTTTACTTAGGATGGGATCAAATGGACCATATGTGACCTGAATAAGAAAAGAAGTAGGTTGATTCTGATCTTACTTACTGAAATTTAGAGCTATTCTATTTAAACGGGGTAGGGAAGAGATAATTCTCTGTATGGTAAGTTCACAGAATGGAATATTGAGTGAAGAGACTGCCTGTTATGGAGACATTCTCCCAGTCTGGGTATTAGACTATAGTATTAGCTATTAGGTATTGTTTTGCAGTCTTTTTAAAAAATTTTTCTCTTCAATTTTTATTTTCTTATTTTTAACATCCACTCACTGTACACCTCTAGAGCATACATACTGGATTTTCCCAGCATAAACGCACTGTATGTTAGTCCAGTCAAAGGTATTACCATATACCTTATCAACAGGTAATTTCCTATTTTTGTGTTCATTAAATGCTTTGCTTCTTGTTTTCACCTTGAGTCTCCCCCTTTTACTTTCCTCATTATCTACTCTCTTCCACAGTGTCTTCATAATCTATAGACATGATTAATCCAGCTCAGTAGTATCACTTCCATAAGAAAGCATGAAAGAAAAAGTGGGAGATTCAACACACTTTTATTCATCTACAGAGGGAAATGAAGAAGGCATAACATTTATGAAAATGATTCTCCAAGATGATGATGAGTCTGTTATCCTGGGCCCATGTGAATTGTGGACCAGAAGTTTTCTTCCCTAGCAACCAATGTTAAATATAAATTCTGAGAAAAAATAAATCTGTTTTTTTACTGATCTTTTGGTACCGTAAAATTTACTTATCACCAGAGCATCATCTGTATTGTCTAAACAAACAACTACTTACACACTCTTTAAATGTTTTTATAATACAAATTTTTCAGAATATAATTATCTTGAGCTACTACTGTCTGTGTTTACCAGTAATGTCTCCTGAATGTTGCTTGTGTTAGACAGTTTCCCTGGAAAGAATCTTGAGGGGGAGATCTGTGATGTGGAGACTAACTGGAAGGGCATTCAGAGGATCACATTCATGATGTGAAGAAGAGCTGAGGGATATGGGAAAACACAGCAGATTGACGGAGCCATAGCCAATTTGGGGAAATTCCAGTGATGGAACATTCCTTCTTCTTTGTGCCAAATGAAAACCAGATGCAAAGGTCTTTACCTTTACATCTGATTGTCACTGTCCTCTGAATGCCACTAATAATGTTCTCTCCTAACATGGGGTAGATCCCTGTACTGTGTGCCTTTTCTAGGAGACACATATCTTTGGGTTGTTATCAGTCAATCTTCTCAGCACTGGGAGTTGGCTGCACTGGCCATGACAGGAATCTAGGTGGAGCTGCGCAGATTCCATTATTCTTTTTTCTTTCTTAATCTTGCACCATTAATATCTCAATGAATTTCCTGTGATGTATTTCTAACTCTCAAGGGATATGTAAACCCAGCTTCCAAATTTTCTTTGCTCAGGAATGAGAGAATTGCATTAGGAGAGATTCAAACATCATCGTTCCTAACTAACAACCACTTACATGTGGGCTTTTGTAGAGCTCCAAAAGCGTTCCAATTTGAGATGAAAATGTTGGCACGTTTCCTGCAATGATGGCCACACATTGTTTCTGTCGCTGGCAGTTGTAGTTAGGCAGAGTCTGATTCTCTCCAGAGAGCATATACAGAGCACTCAGTAAGGTCTTTTGGTGATGGGGCAATGCATTGTAGATATCATAACCCAGGGAAAGGTTGGGAAGCAAATGGGCGCTCTTGTTAATCTCCTCAATGGCAAAGAGAAAGGCCAGTACATATTGGTAGTTTTGCCAATGCCACCTAAACAGGAGAAAGCACTAGAAGTTATCGTAAGACTTGGGATTGAGATTAAAGTTCTTAGTCTAGCCAAGAGACAGAAAGCATTAGGCTTAACTGCCATTCAGAGATTCTCCTGCCCTGATGTATGAAATTAGTGTGAATGGTTCTCAGGGCCCTAGGAAACCTTGAAGTGGCTTTTCTCTCTATTTAATCAAATTGTGTCCAAACAACCAAGAAAAGTTTTGAGGGCATTGTGAGTGAGATGAAGACTCATTTAGCAGGATGATGGCACTGTCACCTCCATAGAGGTGATTTTAAGAGAGGATTGATTAATGTGTAAAGAATAGGGCAAACTATTTTTCTAGAGATATGAATAAAAAGTGTACATGTATACATTTTTATACATTTAAAAATCATGTGTTTTATATAAATAAATTATAGTTATGCATATTCATCAAATAGAAAATATTTTATTATTTTCAAATATAATGTGGAGTGATTAAACTAAGGTAAATTATATACTGCATTACCTCAAATATTCCATTTTTTAAATAAAGAAAACATCAGAATTGTACTCCCTGAGCAATAATAAAATGCATAGTACTCAGTTATTAACTTTCTTTATTATGCTTACAGTCACCTTCTTAAACCCTTCTGCAATTAGATGTATCCCAAATGTCATCTTGTTTCTATGTAGGTCCAGAACCAATGATACCCCTTGATTTCCTTATGCTCAAACATTTAAACAGCAAATGACTTGCCAGTTTTTCAACCATGTTGCAGAATTATTCTCTAAAACATTTTAGGCAGATTTAGGTAGCCTATTTTATAATTTTCTACTCTATTACATCACTCTTATGGAGAATGTGTACCTATTTTTTTTCTCGAAAATAAACATTTCATGCAGATATTCTAATTGATTACAGAAGATTTTCTTAAACTTTTTTTTATTTCATTGAAATTCTTCTTAATTTCTTATTTTATACTTAATAGTTCTGTGCTTTCAAAGGATATTAGAGAGAATAAGGCATCAGGCTGTTTGGGTGGGACTCCCATCTCCAGCCAGACCCTCTGCAGGGTCCACAGCCAGGGAGGAAGGAGTAGGTTCACAGAAACTCTCCCACATACTCCTGCAAGGACCTGAGCAGCTCCTAGAGATAGTGAGGCATGGAGGTTTATGGGAAGGGTCTTCATCACCAACCAGGCCCTCTGTGGATCTTAGAAATGGACAGAGCAGATTCATCAGGCACCACACCTCAGGTTCATCAGGCCCTGCACTTTACATGTATTATGTCATCTCACGTTTTACCTTAGCTTTGGTCTTCTCAAGTCAGTTCTCAGCCACATCGGAATTAGAAAATTTTTGAAACAAGAGGGAAAATGAAGTGTGCTAAAGCATACTACAGAGAAGTACACAATTATACACTCCCAGAAACCTACTCCAAATTAGTAAGAAAAAGTAAGTGCCTCATCAGATGCCTCAAAAAAAAAAAGTAGGGCCTGAAGTAACTGGAGAAAATCATAAATTATATCTCCCTCAAACACAGCAATTTCCCATCAAGTGTGGAAAAAACACAAGTAATCCCAAAAGTGACAGAAAGAAAATTCAGACTATTTATAATAACACAACTCAATGAGATGCAAGAAAAAACAAAAAACAAACAAACAAAAAACTTCAGGATATTAGAATATTATTAAAGATATGAAGGAGAAATTTTGTAAAAGGATATCATAAAAAGAATCAAATAGAACTGGGGATGAGAAAAAGAGTACAAGAAATCAAAATCTCTCTTAAAAGTACCAAGAGTAAAAGAAAGGTCTGTCTGGTCTGGTAGGCAAATCTGTTAATCCAAACCATGAAAAACAGGAAAAAATGAGAATAATATATAAGAATTACTAGTCACCATTACATGACCAAATATCTGAATAATGGAAATTTCAGAAGGTGATGAAGCTGGTAAAGGCATAGAAAACCCCTTTCATGGAATACTAACTGAAAACTAGAGAAATATAAAGAAATATTAATCCAAGAATCACAAAGGACACCAAATAAGAGCAACATAAGAAGACTCTCTTCATGGTACAACATAG